GCACTATCTTGAATTCCGTTCCAAAAGTCATTTTAGGCTTACTTAGTCATTTTAAGGTCTCGGTACCATTTTTAGAATTTTTCATGGTCGCTTTGGTAATTTTCTCGAAAACTCCAAAAATCACGAGAATTTCGGACCCTAAAATTTGTGCCTTTGCAAACGCGCTTCGATTCCCGTTCCAAGGGTTATACGAGGTGTCCCGGGTCCATAGGAGCTTACGTTCTAATTAGAAAAAATTTGGACCTTAATACCGACCCCGTTCTGCTAAAATGAAAATCCAACATTCAAGGGATTTAAAAAATTTTCCCAGGCACAGACGAGCGCTTGTCCATTCATTTACGAGTGCTCGTAACTCCAAAAAACTGCACTGCCTCATTTTCGAGCGCTAGTTTAGGCCGATGAGTGCTCGCCCGTTGAAGTCGCTGCCTCCTCGTGGCCACCCCAATGCCGCGCAAGCGCTCGTACTGCCCCAAATCCTTACTGACCCATTTTTTAGCGCTCGTCCCTGTAGACGAGGGCTCGTGTTTTGGCCCCCTTCTTAACCGACCTCCCCTCTTCCACTTTTTACCTTCCCACGTTCTCTCCCCTTACCCCCACGACCCCCCATTGCATGCACCCTCATAACTTCTCCACCCCTTCATCTTCCTCATTCATGAACTCCTTTCCTTTAAATACCTACCCCAATCAACCCTCCATTCTCATCCCTTGCAAGATTACTTGAGTCTTCTTCCTCCTTCCTTTTCAGGTATGCTCTCCTCCAACTTCTCTCTTTCGTTTCCTTTATTTTCATCTTAAGGAATGTGGGCATTGATTTTTTGGAGGTTGTTTGGTTGTTGTTGAGGTTGGTGTTTGGCTAGGGTCCTTTCTTGGCCAAATATTTTTTGGTTTTCTCTTCCATTGCTAAACTTCTTTCTCTCCCTATTTCTTTGTACATACCAGGTGTTCGCTAAAATTCCCCATCCAATTCTCTATCTCCAAATGGCTCATGGCGAATCATCTCACCATCCTAGAGCTTCCGAGGATGCCCCTACTATAGTCCGAGAGCAACCAAGGGCTGCTTGAATTGCCAAAAAACTCAACTATGAGCACTTTTTCCAGCTTGAGGACGTCTATGCCGACCACCCAACATCCTCTTGGGCTGTCACTGAATTAACCAATCGACGTCTCTAGGGCATCTGCAAACCAGTTGCCAAGGTTGCCTACCCACGAGTGGTACGGCTGTTTTATCAAAACCTCCATTCCCCGGACGAGCCGGCTAACACTCTCACCACCTCCATTGATGGTACTCTCTATTCATTGAACATAGATGACATTGTGGCTATTTTGGGCTATCCTTTTCAGTACCCCGATGATCTTTTGGATGCTCGGAGTTGTCCATTATATAAGGAGGTTGATGATTTGACCGTAGAGCAAATCGTTGCCACAATTTTCAATGTCACTGATCCTCATCGGCCGCGTAGTTACACTCTCAAATCCACTCTCCCCGACCAGGTTTGGTTCCTTGATTCGGTTCTTAAGCATAATGTGTGCCCTTTAGTACATAGCACCGAGCGCCGCGGTTTGATGTTGGATGCTTTGTATACCCTGGACCAAGGCTTCTGGATTTCTATTTTGAAGTTAATTTGGAACCAGTTCATGAGGTTTTGGGACGAATGAATTCATTTGAGGCATCAAAGAGCCCAAACCTGGGCTTTGCCATTGTCGTTCTTTATTACCAAGCTCCTTAAGCACAAGGGTTGCATTGTTCCTCCGCATGAAGAGAAGGGCAAAAAGATTCAACTATTTTCCATGCAGCGATGGAACAATGTTCTTGGCCATCTTAGGCCCAATCAACCCACTGTTGCTATGCCACCACGCGAACCATCTCCTCCCATCCATGAGGATGATCCTACGGTAGAAGATTTTGATTGGGAGGAGCCCCTGGTTGAACCTCAGCATGAGAATGCTTTTCTACGGACTATCATTGCTAATCTCCATGCTCGGATGGACACCTTTGAGAGTGCCCTAGCAGACTACAATAATGTGAGCATTTGCATTTTTATCATTTTTCTAGTCATTTTGACATTCATGCATTTTTTTTTATTGTCGGAATTATGATTATGTTGCAAATGTGTGTTAAATCAATTAAACATCATTATGTGTTAAAAAGTATTATAAAGTTTATTATGCAAATGACATATTTGTCAATTAGTATTTCATAAAGGGCATTGTGGACTTTTTGTTTTACACATGGCATATATGGTATTTGATTATTTTATAAAGGGCAAAGTTGACTTTTATTTTTCAAATGGCATATTTGGCATTTGGTTATTTCATGGGGGTAGTGTGGACCTTTAGCATGCAAATGGCGTACTTGGAAATTGGTAAAGAAGGAAGGGTGTTTTAGTCATTTCAATTGGTCGTGCTTTTTGACTTCATGAGAGCTTGACACCTAGATGCATGATGAGGCTTTGTTTTACATCTGTGATATGTAATGTAACTAAAATGAATAAATAAAAAATAGCACAATCTGCTAAACTGATTTTCGTGCCTTTGTTTTCCCCTTTATAGTTATTCTCTTTACATGCAAATTTGATGCCTTTTGGTTAAGATTTTGAGGAGGGTTTGTGAATGAAAAGTGTGGTAGATGTTATGGGCTTAATTTTGGTATCAAATTTGTGCTAAGTTCTTCATTTCTGGGGTTTGAAAATCTGTTTACAAGAAGGGAGTCTTTTGTTGCAAAAGAAGGAAAGTGTTCTTCACTTTTTACAAGTTTTGGAGCTTTGATTCAATCTTTTGGTTGCTTTAAATTGTTCTTGCAAAGATTTTCAAGTTTCTTTGAGGTAGGATTACTTAACTCTCACACCCTTTACCTTTAAGGAATCAATTTTATGTGTTTTGTGCTTAAAAACCTTAATTTCTGCACAGCAACCTGAATTTCAACTAACCATAACTTCCTCATTTTAAATCCAAATTGAGCGATTTTTGAGTCTAAATTGATTAGCTCGAAACAAGATTTCCAATGATACCAATTTCAGCCTTGGATTCCAACTGTGAAAAAAGTTATGACCCTTCAAACATAGGCTGCCAGGTTCGCGCCATAATCTGCAGAATTTAATGCACAGCAACCTGAATTTCAACTGACCATAACTTCCTCATTTTAAATCCAAATTGAGCGATTTTTGAGTCTAAATTGATTATCTCAAAACAAGATTTCCAATGATACCAATTTTAGCCTTAGAGTCCAAATGTGTAAAAAGTTATGACCCTGTAAACATAGGCTGCTACTTGAAAATTAGAATATTAGTAGTTTTAATATTTCTTGAAATGGGCAGTTTTGTACTTGATTTTCTAAATGTTATTAAGCACTGTTTATGTTGTTATGTGGTAAAAGTGAGTTAGAAAGCATGGATTAGTTAACCTGTTATTTCAACATACTAGTGTGTGGATTAAAAGGCAATACCATGATATTGTATATGAGTTGAGATTTCCATATTTATTTCATTACTTGTATATCATGTTATACAAATGTACATGCATCTTACATAAGCATGGGGATGATGTTGGAATTAAAGGGAAAGTGAAAATGTTTCATTAAATGGTTTTGAAAACCGAAAAACAGGGAGGTGCCTTATATCCATGAGTTTGGAAAAGGGAATTGAATCAATGATTTCAAAACTGGATAAAGAGTTGCCTTGTCTGTGTAGTTAATGGGAATCTAGAGGAGACGTAGGGAGTCGCTCTACATGTAGTTGTATCACTAGAGCCCCAAAATGATCACAAGAAGTGGCCTTGGATCTGGGATAGATGACCAACTCTCTTCTCGTGGTACTGGGGAGCAGCCCTGGGCGGATTACATTAAATTTTTGTGATGGAAATGGGATTTTGGGAAAGTGAGAAATGTCAGTGGCATTACCATCAGCATTCGCATTGCATGGCACTTCATTTTATTATCATATATGACATCAATTGTTTCCTGAGTTTATATGATCCCATTATCCTTTATCTGTTCTTTGTTTGGATTCATGGAGGTATTAAGGAGTGCACTTTAAGTAATTCTCGCTAAGCTGTGGTTGCTCATTCCTATTTTATTCACATCTTTTCAGGTTATGGCACGGATGGTATGGAGGGTGTTTTTCCTCAGCTGTAGATAGAGTCAGGGCTGGTGTTGTTGTGTTATATTCCACATAATAGTCTATGTTTTGTATTATACTTCTTTAGGATATTTCTGGCATGTAATAAATGTTATTTCGAACTTTAAAATGTTAAAGTTGTAATATTTGCATCTTATCTATTTATTTTCAGTCGTGTTTTGTAAAGGGAAATAGATAGGTGGATGTGTGGTTGAGATGGGTTACAGGGATATTCTTAATTTTGAGACTGTAATTGTTTGTGTGTTGTGTTCACAATCCTGACTACGGTCTAGGGGCGTGACAGTAGTGGTATCAGAGCATGGTTCCTATAACCTTGGGACGACGGGTAGAGGTCTATCTACCGCTATGTGTGTAGGGGTTTGCATTATCTTATATGCTTACATGCTTATGTGTATATGTGATTACGTGTTTATCTGATTATGACAAAGCATGCAATGTGTTTAATGGCTTTTATTCATAGGCACCGAGAGGCCAAGAGATTGGGCCTGCAATTGGACGGTCTTGGGAGAGTTCTGCATCTCACCCTGTGGGACAGGGAGGTTTGCCACAGCCAGTGATGTCTGCAGGGGAAGATGAGACAAAAAGATGTCTCAAACTTATCTCCACATTTGTCAGACTCATGCCTGCACTGTTTGAGGGTGGGACTGATCCGTTGTTGGCAGATGATTGGTTCGACTAGGTGGAAAAGCATATTAATGCTCTGGCGGTTGAAAATGATTCTGTGAAGATTCTGTTGGCTACCTACAACTTTACTAGGGATGCCAAATTGTGTTGGAAGTCAGTGTTTAACAGAATGGACATAAAGACATTGTCGTGGGATGCTTACAAAGAGTTATTATACAATAAGTTCTTTCCTACGACTAAAAGATGGGAGCTGTACAAGGAGTTTATCTCCCTATTCCAGAATATTCTATGACAGTGACAGATTATGAGAATAGATTCACTTCTCTTTCTCGTTTTGCTCCGGAGATTGTAAGTAAGGAATCAGATAAAGTCCACAAGTTTGTAGAGGGACTCCATTATCGGATTAGGACTGTTGTGGCAGCACAGTGCCTACAGACTTATCCTGAGGCTATAGAAAGGGCATTGATTGTTGAAGCTAAGCTGAATGATAAAAATCAGACTCGGGAGCAGTGGAAGCAAAGACGAGCCAATGGTTCAGGGGCTGAGGGTCAGTCTAGCAAGAGGTAGAAAGGGAGTTCATCTAGGTCTGCAGGACAACAGTCAGGCTGACCTACTCCTTCTACTTCCATACCATCAGGAGCAGGTAAGAGTGAGGTCATATGTTTCGGATGTCAGCAGCCTAGCCATTATATGTCTGATTGTCCACAATCTTTTTCTACGGGAGCTTGCTTTGGATATGGACAGCAGGGCCACAGGGTTAGAGACTCTCCAAGGAGGACTGGTGGCTCAGGCAGAGGTTCTGGTAGTGGTCGTGGTACACATCAGAGACCATCTCAGTCTGCCACAGTACAGTATGGGTTTAGACCACCACAGCCAGCTATATCTTCATAGGGATCTAGACCAATGGGGAGGGGTACTTTTGCAGGCACTGGTCAGCAGTCCAGGGTTTAGGCTGGAGGTTCACAGGTTCAGATATCCCAGGGCCGATTGTATGTACTTCCTAAGACATCTTTGGGACCGTCAGTGGTGAGGGGTATGTTTCTAGTCTTTGGATCTTGGGCTTGCATTTTGTTTGATTCTGGTGTATCTCATTCATTCATTTCATGCACATTTGCACTTGCATCGGGATTAGAGGTTGGTTTTCTGGACCGAGTGTTGTGTGTTGATACGCCGGTCGGTGGTTCATTAGTTATGAGCAGAGTGGTACGGGATTGCGCCATTGTGATTGCTGGGTGAACTTTGGTTTTTGATCTTATCCTTCTTAAGATGATAGGGTTTGATGTCATTCTTAGGATAGATTGGTTATCATCATTTCGTGCCACGATTAATTACTTCCGTGGTAGAGTTTCAGTGTGTACACCGGAGGGAGATTGTTTTATGTTTGTGGGAGATCGGGGTGATTCCCTAGTTTCAGCTTGTTATGGTGTTCGTGGTTAGGACCATTGTGCTTTCTTCTTAGCTAACATTTTAGCTGAAGAAGATGGTGATATGGGGGCAGTTTATTCGTTAGCTGTTTGTGACTTCTTGGATGTGTTTCCGGATAACTTACCAGATTTACCTCCTAGAAGAGAGGTTGAGTTTGTGATTGACTTGATGCCTAGTACTGCGCTAATTTCTATGGCTCCGTATCATATGGCACCAGTAGAGCTGGAGGAATTAAAGAAGCAGTTGGATGATTTGAGGCTGAAGGGTTTTATTCAGCCTAGTATTTCACTATGGGGTGCGCCACTGTTGTTTGCAAAGAAAAAGGATGGTTCTATGAGGTTGTGCATTGATTATCGAAAATTGAATCATGCAACGATCAAGAACAAGTATCCTTTACTGCGGATTTACAATTTGTTTGATCAGTTGAGGGGGGCTATTTACTTTTCCAAGATTGATCTGAGATCTGATTATTACCAGTTACAAGTTCAGGATGAGGCTATTCCGAAGACAGCTTTTTGCACATGGTATGGTCATTATGAGTTTATTGTGATGCCTTTTGGGTTGACTAATGGGCCAGCAGCATTCATGGATATGATGCACCGTGTCTTTCATAGATATCTATACCAGTTTGTGGTAGTGTTTGTGGATGACATTTTGGTGTATTCACGATCTCAAGAGGATCAGGAGATCCATCTGAGGATAGTGTTACAGATGCTAAGAGAGCACCATTTGTATACCAAGTATTCCAAGTGTGAATTTTGGTTGCAAGAGGTGAAATTTTTGGGACATGTTGTTTCGGGTAATGGGGTGTCAGTTGATCCTTCGAAGATAGAAGTAGTTCTGAATTGGGAATGTCCCAAGAATGTGTATGAGATTCGGAGATTTCTTGGCTTAGCGGGTTATTACCGCAGGTTTGTGAGGGACTTTTCTCGCTTAGCCACTCCTATGACTCGGATGACCCGAAAGGGGATCAGATTTGATTGGACTAAAGCTTGTGAGTCATCTTTTCAGGAATTGAAGACTAGATTGACTACAGCTCCAGTACTTTTGATACCTGAGCATAGCTTGGGTTATGTTGTCTTTTGTGATGCTTTTTGGGATGGTTTGGGCTGTGTGTTGATGCAGGGTGGTAAGGTAGTGGCTTATGGATCAAGACAATTGAAGATTCATGAGTTTAACTATCCTACTTACGACTTAGAGTTGGCAGCAATGGTTTTTGCTTTTAAAAGTTGAAGGCATTATTTGTATGGTGAAAGATTCGAGGTGTTCTCAGATCACAAAAGTCTAAAGTACCTTTTCTCTCAGAAGGACTTGAATAACAGACTGAGGCGATGGGTTGAGTATTTGGTAGATTATGATTTTGATTTGTAGTATCATTCGGGTAAGGCGAATGTGGTAGCAGATGCCTTAAGCCGAAAATCTCATGGAGTTTTGGCTGGGTTAGCCATTCGGAAAGGGAAGATGTTGGAGGATCTAGCAGAGATGGGATTACAGTATTGTGATGATAGTGTTGGTTGTGAGACGGCTTTTCTATTTAGTCTTGTGGTTCAACCTACTCGTGTTACACGAGTGATTGAGGTACAGAGACAGAACTCAGATTTAGCTGCCATTCATCAGTTGATTTCAGGTGGGGACACAATAAAGGACTGGACTTTACACACAGATGGTGGTTTACAGTTCAAAGGTTTGCTTGTGGTTCCTACGGTTTGTCGGGAGGATATGTTATGGGAGTTTCACACTTCTCGTTTTACTGTGCATCCAGGTGGTACTAAAATGTATCATAATTTAAGACGCCAGTATTGGTGGAATGGGATGAAGGCAGATGTAGCTCAATTTGTTGCTAGATGTCTTACCTGTCAGCAGGTAAAGGCAGAGCATCAGAAACCTGCTGGTTTGTTGCAGCCATTGCCAGTAGCACAGTGGAAATGGGAGTGTATTGCTATGGATTTTGTGACAGGACTTCCGAGGTCACCGAGAGGGAATGAGTCTGTTTGGGTCATTATTGACAGATTGACGAAGACCGCTCACTTTTTGCCTGTTAAGGTGATAGATTCTGCTGAGGCACTTGGCAGATTGTATGTTAGAGAGATCGTCAGATTGCATGGGGTTCTATTGTCCATTGTTTTAGACAGGGATGCCAAGTTCACATCGAAGTTCTGGGAAGGGCTTCATGCAGCGTTTGGTTCACCGTTACATTTTAGTACGGCATTCCATCCGCAGACAGACGGCCAGTCGGAGCGTACTATCTAGATCTTGGAAGATATGCTTTAGGCCTGTGTACTTGATTTTGGTGGTAGTTGGGAGGATCATTTACCTCTTGTTGAGTTTGCTTACAACAATAGCTATCAGTCTAGCATTGAGATGGCACCTTTTGAGGCATTGTATGGTAGGCCTTATCGTTCTCCTGTTTGTTGGACTGAGGTGGATGAGACAGCCGCCTTAGGGCCAGACATTGTCTTGGAAACCACTGAAAAGATTAAGTTGATTCGACAGCGGTTGTTGACTGCTCAAAGCTGACAGAAAAGTTACGCAGATAGATAGAGACGACCATTATCCTTTGAAGTGGGAGACTACATGTTTCTCAAGGTTTCTCTACGAAAAAAATTGCTGCGGTTTGGAAAAAGTGGCAAGTTGTCACCTCGTTTCATTGGACCATTTGAGATTTTGGACAGAGTGGGTGAGGTTGCTTACATATTGGCATTGCCACCACAGATGGACAGAGTCCATAATGTGTTTCATGTTTCGAAGCTACAGAAGTATGAGCCAGATCCATCACATGTATTGAGTTGGGTTGATGTTGACATTGGTGAGGATGTTTCTTACGAGGAGGGCCCCGTTCAGATTCTTAACACTCAGGACAAAGTGTTAAGGGGTAAAATGGTGACTCTCGTGAAGGTTTTGTGGCGACATCATGGTGTTGAGGAGGCTACATATGAACGGGAACAGGATGTTCGTTCTCCATATCCAAGTTTGTTTTCTTCCCCAGGTATGACTTGATTTCGGGGACGAAATCCTTGTATGTTGGGGAGATTGTGAGCATTTGCATTTTTATCATTTTTCTAGTCATTTTGACATTCATGCATTTTTTTTTATTGTCAGAATTATGATTATGTTGCAAATGTGTGTTAAGTCAATTAAACATCATTATGTGTTAAAAAGTATTATAGAGTTTATTATTGAAAGTATAAAGAATTTTTCCCTAATCGTAGAGAGAGAAATTTTACACTCCCAATGATTTTTCAACCCCTTTTCCCTCTCAATCCCTTCTATTTATAGACGGTTACAACCTCCACTGAGCTGGTCCTATCTTGTTCTCCTTTGGCTGGACTCGACTTCTCTCATTTTATCATGGGCTTCTGAAATGACTTTATGGACCTGGGCCCATACGGCGCAAACTTGCTTCATCTCGTTCATCCACATCCGACCCGTCCTATGCAATGTGGATCACACAAAACCTGGGTCATTTTGGTATCCTCATCTGCCCCCAATAATCTCTTTCCTCATTAATGAGGGTGAGATTATTGAAAGGACACGATCTTGGTCTGACGGCTTGGAGCAATAACTCGAGGAATCGAACGGCTGGCACAAGAACCCAGGTTTCGAGATCTGCAGTGCCACTTTTTGCCTTGACCTTTGGAGTTCCATGTCGCTTTTACTTCTCCTCTTTATAAATTCTGATCTTTCTCTCCTTCACCCTCTCTCTTACCTCTTGCTTCTACTCCCTGTTGCTTTCTTGCACATTCCGGCGATCCTTTTTAATTTCTCCAGCAAGTTCTTCCGGCAAGTCCTTCCTTTTCGATTTTTAGCTACAGTGACGTTGCTGAGTTCATCACAAACTTTCAAGGTTAGTTTCTTTTTTAAAAAAAAACCTCTCCTTAAGAGACGCCTTTACTACCTAGAACTCTTCCCCTTTTTCATGGCTTCCCCTAACCTGAACGCCATTCGATCCAAGAATTGTATCCCTCGCGACATTTCTCTCAGAGTCTACCCAACAAACTTAGACGAGAGATCTGGTGAGGGTCTTCTTCCTGGGGAAGTTTTATTCTCTGCCGTTCACTTGAACGTCATTAGGTTCCCCGTACACCCATTCTTTTGTTATGCTTTCAACAAATTGGGGCTCTGCCCCCTGCAAGTTAACCCAAACTTTCTTAGGGTAATTTCAGTCCTCCTGCTCTTAAATCGTGATAGGGATCTCAATCTCAACATTATTGACCTTCTCCTCTGCTATCGGATTAACAAGACTTCACAAAACGACTTGTACTATCACTTCTTTCTTATTGACAAACGGTCAATCTGCACTGATAAAAGCTCATTTGAAAAAGGGTGGAGGCGGAATTTAATTGTGGTTGGGGGGAATTGGCGGACTCCGCTTGGCCATTCCTTCCCTATCCCTTCTTCCTTTGGAGCATGCTCTGTCTCTGGCTACAAAAAGCTGAAAACACATCCTTCCGAATGCCACTGTGAAAGTTGTCTTCCCCGTTTTTGCACTTTTCTTTGTAGATGCCTTCAAATTCCCTATGATGAACTTGTTTATAGCATCTGCAGGGCTAGGCTAGATACTTTGCAAGAAAACGTACTGAACGATGTCCCTTCAGCTACTGATTTGCTTACATCTGATAATCTTTCTGACATCTCTCTTTTAGGGTCTACAATGGAGAACATTCAGATCCCATCGTTCAGCAGGAGGAGGCGTCCTGCTCCTACCCCTTCTAACGCTCCTGCCATCATTCCATCACCTACACCTACTTCCACATCATTTCTCCCCGCTGTCTCTGCCCCAGAGCAAGTTGTGGTTGCCCCAGCTGCGACTCAAGTCTCAACCCGTTCTGCTGATGCGCCCTTCGAGCTCACCCATGCTGAGAACCCTGTTGTGGGCCAAACTGCTGAAGTCCGTCCTGCGGCCCCCGTCATTATGCCATCAAACATTTCATCCGACACTTCTTCAGAGAGCACTCAAGATGCTGGAAATTCTGAGGACAATGGGGGGCCAGCTAATGCTGTCCTGTCGAAAAAGAGTTTGGGAAAAAGGCCAATGCCTGAGGGCGGTCATGATCAGAATGATATCCCACCGACCCAAAGGATCAGGATGGCTTCCTTCAGGGTTACTGAACCATTGCCCCCTACCCGGTTCTTCATTCCTGAAGGCGAGTCGGCCAGAACCTCTGGTCCAATTCCATCTGTTCTTCCATGGCGACCTTTGCTCAGCCGTGAAGATGGATCAACCATTGGCCCCACTGACTCAATATACAAGGACCCCCTCACCTCATTTGCTTTCTACAAGGGTTTCTGGACCCCCAAAGACCTTGAAATCCAGAACAAGCTATCCTTTAGTGAGATGTTCCAACGGTTCCCGACCGCTGCTATGGAGGTGACTCTTCTTCTACTGAACTGTGATCCTTTTCAGCTATGATTCCTTAGTAATTAGTCTGACCTGAATTTCTTTTTCTTCATGCAGACTCTGTTCGGGATGTTCACTTTTCAGAAAACAATTGAAACTTTGAACAAAAAACTTAAGTCCCTCTCTGTGGGACTCAAGAGGTCTGTTGAAGCAGAGACTCTTCTTGAGGCTAGAGTTGCTGAGCTGGAGTCTAAGCTTAGGGACTCAGAGAAAGGAGCTGTTGACCTAAAGGCAGAGAGAGACGGTCTGGCAAACGAGAGGGATTCCCTCAGAGCTGAATGGGATTCCCTAAAGACCGAATGGGATTCTCTTCATGATGAGGTCGACATCTTAAAAACTGAGAAGAGTGTAGCTCTGACAGAAAGGGACTCTCTCAGAGCTGAAAAGGGAGACCTTCAGCGCTCATTCATTGCTGAACGGTTATCGCATATGAATTCCCAAGAAAAACTTCTAAACGAACGGTCTTCCCTGATGAACATGATCGGCAGAGTCGAAGGGGGTATGAGAGCTCTCCTTGCTCGCTTTACCAGGACCAGTGCCATCCGATATGCTGAAGGGTACAGAGACGGTTTTGTTGACCGTTCTCCCCCTGAAGGTGAATCAAGTTCTTGCGCAGGTCCTGATGAACTAGACGCTTCTCTAGACATCCACCCCCCAAACAACTATCAAAATCCACCATGCGACCCAGCCAAGAACATTTTTATTGAATGCAAAGAGGTCACATCTTCAGGAATTGTCCCACCCTTTTGTCCTCTGAACATTCTTCCCCTTTCTACCATCGTGCCCTCTTCCTCTGTCACTGCCGAAAGACCTATGCCTGCTGAGGGGGTGATTCATCTCGACTCCCCTTCTAAGGATGATAGGGCAGATGGGAATGGAGATCTCGATGGTCCAGAGGAAGATGGTGGCGAGAACGACAAGCTACAGTCTGGAGAAGATCAGAATTGATACCCAATAACAGTTTTTTTTTTTTTTTTTTTTTTTTTTTTTTTAAATCTGCATGTATGGTACTATGTACCTTGGGGCCTTTTTGGCTATGAATGATAATGTTTTTGCTCAGCATCACTTTCCTCCATTAAGTTTTCTATTTTCAACTTTGTAGTGTTTTTTTTACAAGTGTTTAACGTTCGGCCATGTCACCATTCTGTCCTTTTCTTACTCATTTCTGAGCAAGTGTTTGCTGTTCGGCTTTAAGTGCCAGCTGCCACTAACTTGCTGAATGCCTGGCGCTCGGCCTGAACGCCTTTTGCCACTTGGCTTTTTCATTTTTCGAGCAAGTGTTTGGCGTTCGGCTTTAAGTGCCAGCTGCCACTAACTTGCTGAATGCCTGGCGCTCGGCCTAAACGTCTCTTGCCACTTGGCTTTTTCATTTTTCAAGCAAGGGTTTGGCGTTCGGCTTTAAGTGCCAGCTGCCACTAACTTGCTGAATACCTGGCGCTCGGCCTGAACGCCTCTTGCCACTTGGCTTTTTCATTTTTCAAGTAAGTGTTTGGCGTTCGGCTTTAATTGCCAGCTGCCACTAACTTGCTGAATGCTTGGCGCTCGGCCTGAACGCCTCTTGCCACTTGGCTTTTTCATTTTTCGAGCAAGTGTTTGGCGTTCGGCTTTAAGTGCCAGCTGCCACTAACTTGCTGAATGCCTGGCGCTCGGCCTGAACGCCTCTTGCCACTTGGCTTTTTTTTTTTTTTTTAAGCAAGTGTTTGGCATTCGGCTTGAAGTGCCAGCTGCCACTAACTTGCTGAATGGGGAGAGTGTAAATTTCTAACAAAGAAGAGACTTTTTATAAAGCGTGGAAATTTCGTACACTTGCAAGCATGCAATTTAGAACATACAATATGCTTGAAATTAAACTCTACTTTTACTGGTAGTACCTTTTCAGAGACGTAGCATTCCATGGCTTATTGACTACCCTTCCTGTCATAGTTTCTAGGACGTATGCCCCCTTCCCTATGACTTCTGCTATTCTGTACGGACCTTCCCATGGGGAGAACATCTTTTTGACTATTCCCACCTTCCTTTTCAGAACCAGATCGCCAAGAGCGAAACCCCTGTGCCTCACCTTCTTGTTATGGCTATTCACAAGCGTCTGTTAATAAGAGGCAAGCCTCACTGCAGCCGCATCCCTTTTTTCTTCCAACAAATCAAGATTGAACCTCAGCATTCTATTATTCTGCTCTTGATCCCACGCCAAGCTCCTTACAGTTGGAACCAAATGCTCGACTGGTATCACCGCCTCGGTGCCATAGGCCATAGCGAATGGGCTCTCTCCAGTTAGCCGTCTTAGGGTTGTTTAGTAAGCCCACAAGACGTTCGGTAGCTCATCTAACCATTTGCCTTTTTCATTCTCCAGCTTTTTCTTGATACAAGCAATATTGTCCTGTTCGTGATTTCGGCTTAACCATTAGCCTGGGGATGACTGACTGCTGCTAACTTCTGATTGATTCCATATTCCTCCAGCAGCTCTCTCACTTGCTTGCTATCGGGGTTGGTTCCATTGTTCATCATGATTGACCTTGGTACGCCAAAATGACAGATAATATTATTCCAGATGAAGCGTCTTACTTGAGTTTGGGTGACACTAGGGTACGGCTCTGCTTCTACCTATTTGGTGAAGTAATCAGTAGCTAGCAGAACGTACTTATTCTGCGATCTTGCAGTCAGCAAAGGGCCAACCACGTCCATCCCCCATTGCGCGAAAGGCCATGGGGTGGCCATTACGCGCAGGTCTTCAGGTGGTTGATGTATCAATGACCCGAACCTCTGGCATTTATCGCATCTTCTAGAGAATTCTTCTGCATCTCGTGCCATGTGTGGCCAGAAGTACCCCTGTGTCATTGCTTTGTGTGCTAAAGATCTTCCTCTGGAGTGATTTCCGCATACTCCCTCATGAATGGTTCGCATAATCTGTCTAGCTTCTGCAGGGGTAGCACACTTCAAATATAGACCCGAGAAGGAGCCTCTATATAACTGACCGTGCACAATGGCATACTTTGCTGCGCTGGACCTAATTCTTCTTGCCTCGTCCTTACGCTCAGGGAGTGTACCATTACGTATGTAAGCCATGATTGGATCAATCTAGCTTGGCTCATATGGTATAACATTAACATGTTGAGTGCTCGGATTAGGCAGTTCTTAAAAAATGGAAGGTTGGATCAGTATGTCAACCGGGATGACCCTAGCTAAAGTATCTCCAGAATTGGATACACTACAAGCCAAGCGGTCGGCATCTTCATTATACTCTCTCGGCAATTGGATAAACCTGATCTGATCAAAGGCTTTCGCCTTATGCAGAACCGCAGCTCAGTACGCTTCCATGGTCTCATCCTTGGCCCCATAGTCCCCATTGACTTGTCGAATGACTAGTTGTGAGTCACTATAAGCCATCAGATTCTTGATCTTCAGTTCTTTAGCCAACTTCAGCCCAGCTATCAACGCCTCGTATTCTGCCTCATTGTTGGTCGCGTTGAACTCCAGTCCTATCGCCTGGCTCAGCGTAGTTCTTTCTGGTGTTTGCAATTGAATTCCAACCCCGGCCCCCATTTGATTCGAGGAGCCGTCCACGAAAAGCTTCCACCAGGAACAACTATAATCCTCCACCGTATCTTCAGCATCACAATCAAGTAGGAAATCCGCCACCGCTTGACCTTTGATTGCCGTCCTGGGCTCGTACGCGATATCAGATGAACTCAATTCAATGGCCCACTTGGTCACTCTCCCCGACAGGTCCGGTTTGTGCAAGATCATTCTTAAAGGGAAAGTTGTTAAAACGACGATTGGATGAGATTCAAAATAATGTCTAAGCTTCCTTTTTGCGTTGACCAGCGATAAGATCATTCGTTCGGCCCTAGAGTACCTTCTCTCCGGTTCAGACATTGTCTTGCTAACATAAAACACCGGGAACTGCTTGCCCTCTTTGCAATGGATCAGAATGGCACTGGTTGCTATACTGGACACCCCGAGATATAGAAATAGTTTCTCATTCGGTTCTGGAGCAGACAGAACCGGAGGATTACGCATGTACTCCTTCAGGCTGGTTAGTGCCTACCGTTGCTCATCCCCCCAGGTTTGTCTTCCTTGCCCTTGTATTGTATCAAAGAAAGGTTTACAGTTGTCCGAAAGCTTGGAAATAAATCGGCTCAGTGCGGCTATCCGGCCTGTGAGTGCCTGGACCTCTTTAATTGTCTTTGGCTCTGCATTCCTGATCAAGGCTTCTGCCTGTGCTGGGCTGACCTCAATTCCTCTATGATTAACCACATGTCCCAGGAATTGACCGGAGCTTACACCGAATGAGCATTTGGCCGGATTAAGCTTCATCCCATATTAGCGCAACACATCGAACACATCTTGCAGGTGCGCTAAATGATCGCTCTTCTTCTTCCTCTTGACCACCATATCATCAATGTAAGCCTTGACAGTGCTGCCCATTTAGCCCTTAAAAATCTTGCTGATCAGCCTCTGATAAGTAGCTCTAGCATTTTTTAATCCGAATGGCATGACTTTATAGCAATAAGTCCCTCGTTCAGTAACAAATGAAGTTTTCTCTTCATCAACTGGGTCCATAGGAATTTGGTTATAACCGGAATAAGCATCCAGGAAAGTTAACCGCTCATATCCTATGGTGGCATCTACCATTTGATCAATCCTGGGCAATGGGAAACTATCCTTTGGGCAGGCTTTATTTAAGTTGGTGAAGTCGATACACACTCTCCATTTCCCATTCTTCTTCTGCACTACAACAACTTTAGAGAGCCAGGCCGGGTACTGAACTTCTCTGATGAATCCGGCTTCAAGCAGCCGATCAACCTCCTCAGCTATAATCTGATTTCGTTCTGGAGCAAATCTTCTTTGCTTCTGCTTCACTGGCTTTGCATTCGGATCCACATTGAGGGAATGACAGGATACAGCAGGATTTATCCCTGGCATATCTGAATGGCTCCATGCGAATACATCCGCATTCTGAATCAAGAAATTAGTCAACTCTAGTCTCTCTTCTTCAGTGAGTCTGGTTCCCATCCTTGTTGTTCGGTCTGGTTTCTCATGATCAATCTTCACTTCGTGAAGGGGTTCTGTGGTCAGAATTGGTGGCTCCTCCCCTCCCCCCCCATCCTTGCTGGAAGGAGGGTTCTGTAATTGCTATTTTGGAATGGCTGAACGGATGGGGTTTTTCCCTTTTCCAACAGATTTCAAAGTTACTGAATAACACTCTTTAGCCGCAACCTGGTCCCCGTGTATATCTATCACCTTGATCCCATCCAGACCCAAACATCGCATCACTTGATGTAAGGTTGACGGAACGCCCTGAATTCTGTGAATCCATCCTCTGCCCATCAAGAGGTTGCATGACGGATGAATTTCCACTACCACAAAACTTTCAGTCAAAACCCGATCAGCGGCTTGTACTGTCAATTCCACCATTCCAATGGGTTCCACTAGCTTCCCATCAAATCCGAGCAACAGATTTCCTGTGGGTTTGAGTTTTTCGGGTTCGATCTCCAGTCGGTCGAACGTCACCCTGGGCATGACATTCGCACTACTTCCTGGATCAATCAGGACTCTCCGAACCAGGCATTCTACAATCGTCAGACTGACGACTAGTGGATCTTCATGAGGAATTTGAACGCGTAGCAGGTCCGTTTTATCAAACTTTATCGACGTGGACGTGTTCTGCTGGTGCAAAGCACGCACACTACTAATTCTTCTTTTCAGCTGAGCCTGGCGTGACCTTGTTCTGAGCAACTCCTCTGACTCCGTCGTTTGTTCAGGCCGGCCATGAATTGTGTTTATAATCCGGACGGGATGAGAGTTGTGTTGGTTCAGCCTCTGGTTCCGCTTGATTTGTTCAGTCGAGCGGTTATGCTCTTGCGCCGGACCCTGAACATAGCTTGCAAACTCCCCCTTCGCGATCAGCATCTCTACCTGCCTCTTTAGGTTCCTGCATTCGTTAGTCTGATGCCCAAAATCACTATGGAAAGCACAATGTTTAGTCTGATCCCTCTGTTCAAGAGGTTGCCTGATTGGCAGAGGAGGACGAAACTTATCTTTATTCTCCTGGTATAGCCTTGCTAAGGTGACTCTGAGTGGAGTGACTGATTCCTCCTCCCTAGGCCTCTTCTCCGCCTTCCATGAGGGGTGACGTTGCGGTTGAGCTTGTTTTTGCCAGATCTTGGCTTTGGACTTCTCCTCCGTCGAAATAATTGATGTCTTCCTTGAATTAGCTGCTTCTTCCTCCTCAAGGCGAACAAAACCGTCAACTCTCTCGTTCAGCTCGTCTATTGTCTTTGGCGTATTAACCACCAAGCTGGTGTGGAACGGCGTCCCCCGATTCATTGCGAGTTTAAATTCTTGGACTGTTGTTGACGGGTGACACTCTATTACCATGCTTTTAACGAGGTTGAACCGGGTGAGAAAAGCTTGGAGCCACTCATCCTCATGCTGCTTCATTGTAAAAAGGCTCGATACATCCTTAGCCGGACGCTTATTCCTGTAATACTGGCTTATAAACTTATCGCATAAGTCCTGGAAACTAGCGATTAAGCCTTGAGCCAGATTCTTGAACCAATTGAGAGCTGGTCTAGCCAAGCTCGTAGGGAAACACTTGCATATCAAAGGATCATTATTAGTATTCAAAGCCATTTTCAACTGAATATGGTATATGTGATCGACCGGATCGGTTGTTCCGTCAAACAGAATGAAGATCGGCATGGAAAACTTCTTCAGATTCGGTGCGTTCAGAATTTCATCAATGAACGGCGATGCGACCGTCCTTGCTAAGGAACACAATGCTTCATTTTCTCTTAAAAACTGTGACAGAAATCCTCGATCGGCAGATCTCCTTTCCGAGCTATGGTAATCAACTGTCGCTAATGAAGGTCGGTATGGCGGATCGAACGACCTATCCTCCGCAAATTCACTCCGCCATGGTGACGCAATTCGATGTTCATACGCCGGTGCTTCCTCCCTCATAATCCGTTTGTGATGCGGTTCTAGACGAACAGATCCTTCCCGATCCTCTATTCGGCCGACATTTGGAGGCAGATTACCGATTATATCTTCATCACGACGTAGACCACCACGATTGATGTCTTCTGAATCACCTTGACGATCAGCTTAGAAGGGAAAAGCTCCCTTTCCTTCAGGAGGCGGCCTCGAAATTGCAGGAGCCTCACGATGCTCCATTCCAGCTCGTAGCTCTACATTTTCTTTCCTCAAAGCATCGATCATGTTCATTAGCTCATCGAGCTTTGTCTGCTGGCCGTTCTCCAAAGAATTCGAGTTCGCCTCTCCGATCATCATTCCAGATCGGAGCAAAGTCATCAATTGCAGGCTTCTTGACCAAATCGGAGTTCCGCTAACGTGCGCACACCAGATCTGAACTTACACTTGCCGAATTCAGTCCACTACTGGCCGGATTCAGTAATCACAACAGATCGCAACCGCACAGTTCACCGGATCAAGCACGGATCTGATCTGCTTAGATCGGACGCCGATTTTCCGAAATCAACCGGAGCCTGGACTCGTCAAGACAGATCGTATTATTACCAATGTTGATTCAGCTTTCGCAGATTAATCGTCTTCCTCGCAGAATACGTTGAATCGATCCAATCTGGAATAAAATCAATCAATCCTTCCTGTTCTTCCCACAGACGGCCCCAATTGAAAGTATAAAGAATTTTTCCCTAATCGTAGAGAGAGAAATTTTACACTCCCAATGATTTTCTAACCCCTTTTCCCTCTCAATCCCTTCTATTTATAGACGGTTACAACCTCCACTGAGCTGGTCCTATCTTGTTCTCCTTTGGCTGGACTCGACTTCTCTCATTTTATCATGGGCTTCTGAAATGACTTTATGGACCTGGGCTCATACGGCGCGAACTTGCTTCATCCTGTTCATCCAAATCCGACCCGTCCTATGCAATGTGGATCACACCAAACTCGGGTCATTTTGGTATCCTCAATTCTGTAAATGGCATATTTGTCAATTAGCATTTCATAAAGGGCATTGTGGACTTTTTGTTTTACACATGGCATATATGGTATTTGATTATTTTATAAAGGGCAGAGTTGAATTTTATTTTTCAAATAGCATATTTGGCATTTGGTTATTTCATGGGGGTAGTGTGGACTTTTAGCATGCAAATGGCATACTTGGAAATTGGTAAAGAAGGAAGGGTGTTTTAGTCATTTCACTAGGTCTTGCTTTTTGACTTCATGAGAGCTTAACACCTAGATGCATGATGAGGCTTTGTTTTATATCTGTGATATGTAATGTAACTAAAATGAATAAATCAAAAATAGCACTATCTGCTAAACTGATTTTCGTGCCTTTGTTTTTCCCTTTATAGTCATTCTCTTTACATGCAAATTTGATGCCTTTTGGTTGGGATTTTGAGGAGGGTTTGTGGATGAAAAGTGTGGTTGATGTTATGGGCTTCATTTTGGTATCAAATTTGTGCTAAGTTATTCATTTTTGTGGTTTCGAAATCTGTTTGAAAGAAGGGAGTCTTTTGCTGCGAAAGAAGGAAAGTGTTCTTCACTTTTTACAAGTTTTGGAGCTTTGATTCAATCTTTTGGTTGCTTTAAATTGTTCTTGCAAAGATTTTCAAGCTTCTTTGAGGTAGGATTACTTAACTCTCACACCCTTTACCTTTAAGGAATCAATTCTATGTGTTTTGTGCTTAAAACATAGCTGAAAAACGAATCCGCCAACCTTAATTTCTGTACAACAACCTGAATTTCAACTAACCATGAATTCCTCATTTTAAATCCAAATTGAGTGATTTTTGAGTCTAAATTGATTAGCTCGAAACAAGCTTTCCAATGATACAATTTCAGCCTTAAATTCCAAGTGTGAAAAAAGTTATGACCCTTCAACCATAGGCTGCCAAGTTCGCGCCTTAATCTACAGAATTTCCTGCACAGCAACCTGAATTTCAACTGACTATAACTTCCTCATTTTAAATCCAAATTGATCGATTTTTGAGTCTAAATTGATTAGCTCGAAACAAGATATCCAATAATATGAATTTTAGCCTTAGATTCCAAATGTCCAAAAAGTTATGACCCTGTAAACATAGGCTGCTACTTGAAAATTAGAATATTGGTAGTTTTAATATTTCTTGAAATGTGAAGTTTTGTACTTGATTTTCTAAATGTTATTAAGCACTGTTTATGTTGTTATGTGGTAAAAGTGAGTTAGAAAGCATGTTTCCTATGTTATGTAACCATGGATTAGTTAACCTATTATTTCAACATGCTAGTGTGTTGATTAAAATGCAATACCATGATATTATATATGAGTTGAGATTTCCATATTTATTTCATTACTTGTATATCATGTTATACAAATGTACATGCATCTTACATAAGCATGGGGATGATGTTGGAATGAAAGGGAAAGTGAAAATGTTTCATTAAATGGTTTTGAAAATCGGATAACAGGGGGCAATAGGATGAAGAGAAATTGAGCACTACAACTCATGATATGTTACAGCTTTTCAAGAATCAGGTTATTGGGGAAGATAAGTTACAATGGAAAACAAATTTTGGTTTCAAAGTTGCTTGGGAAGCAGGTAGAGTGAAACATCAAAAGGTGGTGTGGGTTGATTTGTGCTGGAATGGTGGTCGTCCTAGATGGTCAGTTCATGCAGTTTTGGTTATGCATAAGGCACTCATTTCACAGGTATTTTTACAACAGAGGGGTTTTTCATTGGCTTCAAGGTGCTATCTATGTTACAAGGAGGTGGAATTAGTGGATCACTTAGTATGTTGTTGTGAGTATACATAGAAGGTTTGGAACTTCTTATCTCAGTTGTGTTCATAACATTTGCAAAAGGTTTATGTGGTGCAACAATTGGCGGATCAATTTAATCAAGATTTCCAACGGAAAGATGTTAGGAAGATGGCCAGAGTTTGTTTCACAACTACTTTATATTTTCTTTGGTGGGAAAGGAATAATAGATTACATGATAAAAATGTTAGAGAGGCTGAAGATCTAGCTAAATGTATTTTTTGGGAAGTGATTGATGTGTTAGGGGTTAACCTTCAAGACATCTTCTAATTTCCTTGCTTGCTAGTTTGTGTGGTTTAGTCCTTTTTTAGGACTTTTTGATTTATTTTAGTGAGGGTATGCCCTTACTTGATTTTATGTATTATATTGTTGAATTTAATATACTCCTTCATTTAGGAAAAAACAAAAAAGAAAACCGAATAACAGGGAGGTGCCTTGTATCCATGAGTTTGGAAAAGGGAATTGAATCAATGATTTCAAAACCGGATAAGGAGTTGCCTTGTTTTTGCAGTTAATGGGAATCTAGAGGAGACGTAGGGAGTGGCTCTACGCGTAGTTGTGTCACTAGAGCCCCAAAATGATCACAAGGAATGGTCTTGGATCAGGGATAGATGACCAACTCTCTTCTCGTGGTACTGGGGAGCAGCCCTAGGCGGATTACATTAACTTTTTGTGATGGAAATGGGATTTTGGGAAAGTGAGAAGTGTTAGTGGCATTACCATCAGCATTCACATTGCATGGCATTTCATTTTATTATATATATGACATCAATTGTTTCCCGAGTTTATATGATCCCATTATCCTTTATCTGTTCTTTGTTTGGATTCACGGAGGTATTAAGGAGTGCGCTTTAAGTAATTCCCACTGAGCTGTGGTTGCTCATTCCTATTTTATTCACATCTTTTCAGGTCATGGCACGGATGGTATGGAGGGTGTTCCTCCTCAGCTGTAGACAGAGTCGGGGCTGGTGTTGTTGTGTTATATTCCGCATAATAATCTATGTTTTGTATTATATTTCTTTAGAATATTTCTGGCATGTAGTAAATGTTATTTCGAACTTTAAAACTTTAAAGTTGTAATATTTGCATCTTATCTATTTATTTTCAGTCTTGTTTTGTAAAGGGAAATAGATAGGTGGATGTGTGGTTGAGATGGGTTACAGGGATATTCTTGATTTTGAGACTGTGATTGTTTGTGTGTTGTGTTCACAATTCGGACTACGGTCTAGGGGCGTGACAAATAAGGTCGTGCGGGAGGACTACCTTACTGCGGCGGAAGACCGTCGTCTTGCTGTGGAAGATCATCTGGTTGCTCACGAAGAAAGGCTTGAAACTAGATCCCTCCTCAATGCACTCCTTGCCCGTTTCCCTCTTGGCCCCTGGCCAGCTTGACCCGTTCTTGCGTTTGTTTTATGTTTCGCATTTTATGGTTATTTCTGTTTCTTGGTTCTTTTTATATTATGTGTTGTCCTTTTGTTGAACTTTGGGAATCTGTTTTTGATCTAGCTTGTTAGGTTAGGCATTTTGGCGCTACACTCTCACCTATAAAATGTCAACCTCATTTTCAATAAAAATTCCCTCTTTTGTTTTTAGTGCTTGTTAAATTCCTATGTTTCATTTTTCATTATTATTTCTGTCCTTAGTGTCTTTTCCCATCTGTTTCTATCAGTGTTCTTTTTACATGTTATTCATTCCAAGTTTGGGGGCATTACTTTTGCAATTCGTATGGTGGCATGTTTTTCCAACGTCGCTGAATTTCTCCTTCGCTTGGTATTATTGCTCTTTGTACCCTCTTTATTTTTCATTTCCAATTCCATTCTTTGTCTTTCCACATTGAGGACAATGTGACATTCAAGTTTGGGGGTATATTTTGGTAATGCATTTTTGATTTTGGTATTGCATTTTTGTTTGCATGTGCTAACTTGTTCAAGTAAGTTAAAAAAATTAATTTTTGGGAAGCATTGATCTTGTAATCTTGGTACTTGTTGGGGATTAAAGTATGTATTTAATACTTTGTGTATAGAGGCAAATGATAATTTTTAAATAAGGAAAAAAAAAATTGAAATGATTATGTGGATTCAAACCAGTTTGTATAAATGTTTCAATTAGATTTTCGTCGGATTCCATTCTTTTCTATGCTTCACACTTCACAAATGCACACCAGAAACTTAATTGTGAGGCATGCAACCCAATTTACCTTGACCTTGACTCAGTTGATTTGAATTGATGACCCTAATGAATGGATATCTTTGGCATTGAATCTCTTAAAAATAAATAAATAAGTTGAATAAGGAAAATGACAAATTTAAGTTCGTAGCCTTGCTAACTCGAGTTATTAAGCCTTTGGAGTGTCCTTACACTTAGCACCCTAAAGCCATCCGGTTTGGGATTTGTTGGCCTAACGCTTGCTACATGGGTTAGTTAGAAACCTTAAGGGACTTGGGCATTATATAGTCATTCACAAAAATAAAAATAAATAAATATGGTTAGTTTGAGTTCGTAACATTGCTAATTCAAGTTATTAAAC